TTTCAATCAGATAAGATGTAAGTACTCTAGAAGGAATATGGTAATTCTAGTATCTCGAATCATAACCCAGGCCTTGTATTTATAGGCAAATTTTTGAATGGACATGTTGGTTGATAAACAACACAACTTTTCGGATAACATTTGAATGTTAGTACTCAAATCTTCAAATGTTTATGGCGGTTAAATGCTAACGATTATGTATGTCGTTTGTGTGAACCGTTACAACTTATCAAGAAACATTCGAATGTTTTGGATCAACCATTCGAATATATCGAGCAAGTTTGCAAAGGATTCTAGAGTGTATTACATTTAAACGAATTGCTTTATACATTCGAATGTAATACTTTGAACTTTGTTTAAAATAAATGCAAAGGGTTTTCATAAAACCACTTTATCCAAAATAAAATTTGACCCCGGCAAGGGGATCTACCCCTTACATCCCGCGAGGGACTACCGCCCCTTGGAGTCTGTTACCAGGGGACGACCCCATCCCCGAGCCCTGCTATGGAATTTGTAATATCGTTGAACACACGTACACTCTGTACGTCCAAACTCGTTAAAAACGTCAATTAAAATTCTCATCCATTCTAAGTCAATCCAGTTATATAAAATTGTCGATAACTCAAAACTCACCAACAAAATTTTAACATTTGTTCCCAATGTCATGGGAACTAAGCCCTATCAAAAAATTTATTATATTTATTTATTTAAATTATACTCCCTCCGTCCATAAATAAAGTTCTCATTGCGCGTTACGATATTTGACTGAAGTTATTTTCAAATCATTTTGTATGAAAAATAGTATGGAATTAAAAATAAAAATTACATATTTAAAAACTACATGAAAAGATCTACAAAACTAGATGTGACTTGACTAATATTTAGGGCTGTAAATGGATAACCGAAAATTCGATTACCATCCGCATCCGTATCCATGGAAAATATCTTCATCCGTTAAAAGTGGTTATTATCCATATCCGATTAAGGACATCGGATTTGGTAATCATACATCTGATCCGTTTATAATCCGCTCCGCATTGACATCCGTTTAAATAACTGTTTATCTGTGTATCCGATCCGTTATATATAATTATTCCTAATTTTTTAGTTTTATATATTGTTTCGCTATTGATATCTCAAAGTATAAGATATTTTTAAATGCAGAATATATGTGTAGACACATGAAAATATGTGTAGACATATAGAAATATGTGTATATATGTACTGTGTATATCTTTTTATGATATGAAGTTATCGTAGAATATCATAAACTATAAAAAAATAAGAAAATAATTATCCCATAAAAAACTGCAGTTGATTTAATTTGATTTAGTTTAATCGAAAATTACAGTATTGTTTAATTTGGTTTTAAAAATTGGAAACGGATACGGATAAATCCGATATCCAACCAATATCCGACGGATGCGGATGCGGTTTTGATTTTCAGTATCCGTCAAGGTCTGTATCCGAATTCGATATTCGACAAAAATAAACGGATATGAATTTGGTAATGACACATCTGATCCGATTAATAACCGTTTACACCCTACTAATATTATTTTATAAAATAGGACATGAAAGTATGCTAACAAAGTGAATAAAGTTTGACTCCGTGAATAATATACGAGAACTTAATTGTTACACGGAGGGAGTATCTAATTTATGGTCAAATAATGTCATAGTTTGACAAAAAAGTCAAAACATGAAATTTTTTTGGACCAGAGTATTATTACTTATTATATCAAATCAAATCAGAAATAGTTTTAAATAAAAACTTCAAATTTGAATGTACATGGGGGCAATGAGGTTCGAACTTACAACTTCTCGAATACTCCATTCATCTCATATCTTTCTTCTCATTTTGACTTTTAATCTTTAATGGCGAGTGTTTTAAAACTTTGATCACAAAATACAAAATAAAAACAACACCACCTCATTCCTTAAGCATGAGGTTAGGGGTTCGATCCCTTACCCACGTGAATGAAGCGAAACTATCTGGCATTCTGGCAAGTCCCATATCGCTTAGTGCGCTGACCGTAGGGACGGAGGATTAGTCATTGGCTATCGGCCGGAGGGAAACTAATTGGCGTGTGTCATCTTTATATGACAAATGTAAAGCATGGAAAGAGAGGAAAAATGGTTAATACTCTGCAAAAGTTTAGAGTGTATGTATATGTATGTGTCAAGAAACTTGAGTGTAAATGGTCATCTTCTCAATGATTTTACCGCTCTCTGTCACAGGGCGAATCCAATGCCGAAATGGTTTTCTTGGCTAGGGCTTTTGGCGCGGAGTTGAGGGCTCGTGCAAGACGTTTCAAATCAATCAACCGTATCCGTGTCCATAGTTCACCTGAGGTCGAGTTGCAAATACAAATCCCATTAGTCACATTAGTCTCAGCTCTATATACTGCATTTCTTGTTGCTTGTAATGTAAAAGCACTTTTTTTGCAAGATAAAGATAGTGTGTCTACACAATGGGAAAGAATGGGTTTTTAGCTTTTATAGAGTTTATATTAGAGTACATCTGTAGAACTAAAATCACAGAAATGGTGTTTTTTTTTTTTTGGAAGAGTGCCTATTTGAAAAAAAAAAAAGTGACTTCTTAGATGTTTTCCAAATAGACACCTAGAACATAGCAATTAAAAATGACTAAAACCAACACCAAGAAGCACAATAAAGTGTAAACAAACTCACACTTATTGGCAGCAGCAATATCACAGCTTTTGGCCCTCACTTGTGATCCAACGTGTTGATCATCGCTGTGCACCTTGCGAGAGGGGCAGTTTAGTAATCTCGCGAGATGTCTAATTTGGTAAAAACATAACCCTTTCGGGCACTGGTATTTCACGCGTGCCCTTCCCTCCTCAATGATGCCACCTGCACAACACCAAGCAAATTTCTGAACCCAACTAATGGAACAGTAACACGAACAAAGCAAACCATACTCGAAACTAGATAGCCCGTTTCCACGAGAGCCCCACGTTAAACACAAACACCCAAACCAAGTAAACACAATAACACGAACAAAGTAAGCAAAGTAAGAGCGCAAAGACATGAAGCCCACAAACCAACACTAGGAACTAGACTCAAAGTACAGAAAATTAAACACACATCCACAAGTCATAGACTAGGGTACAAATACACCATCATAAGCTACAAACTAAGACCAAGGAGTCTACCAAACTACTGTAATCCTAAATCTCTAGACGTTACTATCTAAAGTTATATCCTTTGTAAATCCTGAAGTCGTAATTCTTGTCCAATAAGAAATCGCCTCCTCCCAAACTCTGCCTAGGGATACCTAGCCTCTACGTTACCCATATTCAAACCACATGCCTCTTGCATCACTGCAATGGGATCTCTACACTTCTCCTCTTCACGTGCGGGCCCAAACCACCTAAGCCTAGCTTCTCGTAGAAAAGAAAAAAAATAGATTTTTTTGTTTACCAAGAGGGTTATTAGTGGTTGATGAGGATGCCTCAAGTAGTCTTGAATGGTCCTTGTTTGTATATTCAAGTTTGGGAACTTCATTGTAAATCACCATGGCTTGAAGGTTTTCGTCGTCATCTTGGTGGAAATTAGTGACAAGGTCAATCTTTCTCTTCTGAGCTGGTAATTTCTTCGGCGCCTGGCGAGATGCCTCTCGCGCTCTTCTTGGCTCATGGATTGCCTTCTCTCGCGGTCCCGCATTCGCCTTCTCTCCCTTTCCTTTTCCTTTTGCACGTCGCGCCAGTTCTTCATCGCCACCCAGTTTTGATTCTCTGGTGAACATCCCTCCACTGCCGCCATTATCACCCTCTAAACTCTTCTTCTTCCTCTTCTTCTTGCTCGGATTTTCCGGGAATCATCAACTTCAATTCTTTCAACAAAAATAAGAAAAAAGTATAGGAAATTAATGGGTTTTCATTGACAAAAAAAATGTGTAGATTGCATGGGCGTTCGTTGATCATATGAAAAATGCATCTCTAGGTTAAAAAAACACCCAAATTTAATTTCAATAAATTATTTCGAAAAAACAAAGAGTATTGAATTTACAAGACATGTTTGTCTTGAATCCGAAGAATCTTTATTGAACAATGCATAAGAAATCTTGTCAAAGAATCAGAGGGAGAGTAATTTTACAAAGAAATAAAAAGATCACATTTTTGGTGATGGTGACCGGTTTAATTTGATCTCATCATACAAAATCCATGAAATGTAAAATCAAATTTTGTGCAGGAAAAAAAAAAGAAGATTAAATAAATAAATACACGAATGAGAGGTGGTAATAACGTAATGTTGTGAAAAAGAAAAAGATTGAAAATTTACCTGTGATGTGATGAGAAACGGAGGGAAATGAGAAATGGAAGAAGAAGAAGAAGATTAAGCCGTTGTTTGGTTAACAAACATTTAAGAAGGAAAATAAAATAAAATGAATTTCTCTCATTTTTCTTATTGAAATCGAAGAAATTTTATTTTTCCTCTTCTTATTACACTTTGCCATCTTATTTTGTTTTACTTACATTTTTCTTTTCTTTTCCTTTTATATTTAAAATTCTTTGAACTGAATATAGTGTAAACGAACAAAACAAAAAAAAGGGTTAATACCCATTTTGATTCCTCGCGAGTGAATTTGGTATCCATGTGTTTGCGTCGAATCAAATTAATCCATGTAACTAAAAACTGTAGAAAAAATTAATTCGTCCAACTAAGTTTTTCTTAACAATGTTATAAAAAAAACTCGAGTTGGCACGTTAAATTGAGGTTTAACTTGGCGTGTTAATTGCATCATTAAGATAAATTTCTTTGTAGACTAACCTATGTTTTAGTTACAAGGACTAATTTGGCTCAACCTTAACATATCCGGAAGTAGACTTAGGGAAGGACTTACTCTATGGAATTACCAAAGATTCGTCCTTGACCGAGGACCAGACCGAACTGGACCAATGCCTTCTACCCGTAAATGGGCGGGTTACGGATCGATACTTTTCGGGTCGGTCGGGGAAGGAAAACCTGCAATATAAGGTCTTGAAATTTTCTTCGAAATCACCCAATGTAAAAAAAAAACCACTTGCCAGGAGATATAAACAGAAGACTAACAGTAATACCAGCAGCTGCAGTTCATATGAGAACCCTAACAAAGAGGTTTTAACTACACAGATTTTACACAGTTGAAGAAAAATCTCTCTCTCATGGATGAAGAAACTTCAAATAATACTTCATCATATCATCTCCAGGCCGAACAAGTCGAAAGCGCCCTCGCCTTCCATCCGAGACGCAGCGCGCCCTCGCTCTCTCTCATCCAGTAATTCGGGCTGTATTCCCGCAGAACCTGCGCCATGGTCTCCGTCACCGAAGGGCTCAACGGGCAAGGGGAGAACCCGGCCATCGTCATCCTCATCCTCCACTTCCCGAACACCTCGTGCCTCTCCACCCGGTCCCCGCCCTCGCACGCCACCAAGTTGACCACGTCCCGCGCCACGCAGTGCTCCTCTGCGCTGATGCGCCGCTTGTCGTCCCGCGGGTGGGCCCCGTCGTCGATCGACTCGAACATTGCCGAGTAGTAGTCCATCGTCTCCCGGAACCTCGGGAGGAACGGGGCAGTGTTGGTGTTGGCTTCTTGCTCCACGAGGGTGACCACTCTCGGGGACAACCCTTTCACGAGCCGCAACAAACGGTCCCGGTGGTTCACGGTAGACACGCCCTCGTCCGGCATGTGGTGCAGGAAGTACGGGAAGTTCACGGCCAACGCCTCTCCAGGACCCACGCAGAGGCTCTCCGGCTCGACCTCGGACCCGGAGATGGCTGCCGCGTGGAACTCGAATGGCACCCCGCACGACGCGGCAAATTTTGCAACCCTCTCGCCGACCAACGCAAGCCCCCCGCCGCGGGCCCGGGCAGAGTTGGGATCGTCGACACCAGTGAGACGGAAGAAGGGGGGGCCGCCGGGGCGTTGCGAGAGGGCCTTGATGAAGAATATCCACTGGCTTCCCTGGGCGATTTGAAAATCGATGACGTGGACTCGGTCCTCGTGGGCCACCGCCTCGCCGATGATGACGTTGGACGTGACATAAGCGAACTTGTAGTAAGGGCAAAGATGGTACAACACCTGCATGTATGACATCAGCTCGGGACCGGTAGGTTCATTGCAGTTCAGCTTCTTGTAGATTGTGCTGCCCGACGACAATAGGCGCGCCCTAAGACCTTCCAACAGGTAAGCACTTAGCCTCTGGAAGGGATCCCCGGAAACCGACACCCTTTTCTCCAACAAACCCATGAAAAATTCTGCGGTTGCCACATCAGCATCCGCAACCGCTTCTGCACAGACGTTAAGAAGATCCTTTGTGTCCAAACTCGGGGCAATCTCCCGTATCTGCTTCCATCTGGTTAAGAAAGATGTCTCTGAAACAGCATCACCAAGGGACTGTTCTGAATCCGGAAGATACTAGGGAAGAAAAACAAGAAAAAGGATCATTGAAAAAAATGTGGGGTGGATTAATAAAACCTCAAATACAAGAAAAAACCAAAAATATTTAATTTTCCTTTGCATTAGGCATAACCATATACAAGAACATAAATTTTCCTCAACTCCCACATTTTATTTTTTCCCGAGCATTTCTTGTGGTCCAAACATACACATTAAGGGTACGTTTGGATCCCAAGAAACGCAAGGGGAAGGAAAACATAAAGAGGAAAATAGGAGGGGAAAAATGTTTCTTGATGTTTTATTTATTATGAGCTAAAGCTCGATAGATGTATCAGATAAAGAGTTGGAGATTTAAATATATGCAACAATAATGTAAAGCAAAAATCATATTTCGTTAACTATTTGTTTCTCGGAGATCCAAAATGTACCGTGAAGGAATAACTGCTGGTATCATTGTACATTTCAGAAGTGGGACCCATCAACCGGTTCTCCAGTTCGCGCAACATGTGCGTCAGCTCATTGCCACCATCAACAACACCGGAAGAACCGCTTAAGGGGGACCCAGAAGTGTTATTATCCGATGATAAGGCACTCCAGTTTGAGGAAAAGCTGGCTGTGGTGGTGGGGGTGGTGGTGGGGGAGCCATAAACCCCGCAGTCGATCGTGGGTGATGAGTTGAGAGTGAAGAACTGCCCGGTATTGGCCCGGAACAATGTTTGGTTTATGTTTTCGTCCGAAAAGTTTTTAGAAGCATGGGAAGCAATGGTGTAATATTGATCTTCAACTTTCTGCTTCTTAAGCTGTTGACGGTAGGGCCCATGGAGAAGGCCTGATGACGACTGGGGTGCCTCGGTAGTTCGCATCTCGAGAGCTTTGACTTCAACACATTAACTTTGACTTTAACTGATCACAGCAGGGAGTGTATCGACCATGAAACCAAGAAAACCTGCACACACACAAAAATGTCAGTTTCAAAACCCATCCATTGCAGAGGGAGAGTGAAGGACTATTTACAACACTAACGGCCCGTTGGGTTTAGTTATCTCACTAAAATCACTGAATTTTCTGAAATGAAAAAGCATTTCTAGCATCCAACTAAGTAAGTTGGAAGNCCCCCCCCCCCGGCCCCAAATAAGTACTCCTTATTTTCTTTTTCGGGAAGTCTCAAAAAAGTATCCTCTTTCTTTTTATGGAAAACTTTGAGTGGCTCACAATCTTTCTCTCTCCCCTCCATCACTTTCAACCACACATTTTCACTTTTCTTAAACTTTTGTCAAGTCAAACTGAGACCCTTTTTTCGGATGGGGCGGAGAGAGTATTAAATAGGGTCACTGAAGGATGTTTGATGTTTCACCCCTACTAAGAAGTAGAGACTGTTTCCAAGAAACCCGGACTTCAACACAGAAGCACAGACAAAGTAAACACAATCGCACAAACAAAGTAAGAGCAAAAAAAACAAGAAACAACCAACACTAGCAACTAAACCCAAACTACGAATTGGGCAAAAAAACACACCAGCATAAACTACAAACTAAAGCTAAAAGTTCTACCCAACTACTCTAAACGTGTTTCTATCTAAGGCCATTTCATAAATGACACTCGATACCCTGAATTTTTTGGCTTCATTCAAGCTTGTCAAAGGCATGTGAGGTGATGATTAAAACTTTCTCGGAGTCGATCAGAACAAAAGATATGTGGCAGATCCAATAGGACTGGAAAAAATCTTAGAGATTATTAACATTGACACGTATGAAGTATTATACCATTTCTTGAGAACTACAGAGTAATAATTTTGCTCTTAATTGCGGTGAAAAGGCACTAAACAGCAAAGAGAATCCATCTTAGGATTCTTGGTTTTGAAACGGTGGAGCTAAGCAAATATAAACAAAACCGTCCCAAAACAATAACAAAACTGCAGAAATACATACTCCCTCCGTCCCTAAATATTTGCCACTTGTATTCTCAAGTTTTTTCAATTCATTTTATTTACATATTGGTATAGAAATAAAAAATAAAATTTACATATCAAAACACTACATGACAAGTTCTTCGAAATGAGAGGTGTCAAGAATATTTTATTTTATCAAATAACCAATGAAAACGTAGAAATAAACAAAGTTCTGGCGACTACTGAAAAAGCAAATGTTGTAAATATTTTGGGACGGAGGGAGTATCTGGGAAGCATTTGTACAGTAAAATCCAACAATTTTACACATTTTATCGGAAAGTGGTGAGTTCTTTGTCATGTAATTAAACAATTCAATGAAATAAAACCAATCTTTGTGAAAAAATTTACTACTCCATAAAAATGAGATAAAATAAATAAAATCCCGCTGAGGATAGCCAAAGCTCTCAAACTAACCCACAACCCAAAACACACCTTCATCATGTTGATGAACAGACCCTTTATTCTCAATCGAACAAACCAGGAATCTGCAAGCTTTAAAAAAAAGGGAATCTGCACAAGAACAAAGTGGAATCAAATTCAAGATCAGAAAAGCTTTCACCTCAAATCAATGGAACCCCCCCCCCCCCCTACTAATATCTTCATTATCCTACCCATTCCAGTCATGCAGAACATGGTGATGAAGATTCAAGAACCAAATAAACACGAAGCCCAGAAATCGAGAACATGAAATTCACAGAAATGAGATGTTCATCCTAGGATTCTTCGAAAGCAGAAGCCAAGGACCCTATCAATTACTAAACAATTAACGCCCAAATCATTAACACATAAACACAAACTCCATCCGATTTCCAAGATCAACCCATCGACCAAAAGAAAGAATCGGAATTTCAGCTCCAATCAACTTAAAACAAGAACCCCACAACACAATAACCCAAATCAGTCGAAAAACTACAATCTTTATACCATGCTAACGAGGAAAAAATGATGATTAAATAAAAAAGGGAGTCAACATACATGCCTGAACCCAAGAACTTTAGTGAAATCTACAGATTCTAGTAGGTTTTTAATAAATAAAAAAAGAAGATAATAATAACAATTATTATTAGTTTATTACGGAGTATTAGTTTCCTTTGAATGGATGACACGAAGATAGACTTCTGGAATGCGCTTGAACGGCTCCAAGCAGAATCCGAGGGAGTGTATTAACACACTTTACTTTTGGATTGTGACACTAATGCCATTGTTTTTTCATGTTAATTACGCAATGTACCCCTGACAGCTGTTGAATCTTCAAATCCGCCGGCCGATTTCCGAAGGGCAATTGCGAGTGATTTATGGCAATTTTTTTTTAAAAAAAAAAAGAAAAGGAAAGAATATAATAAATCCCGATGATAAAAAAGAACTCAGTCAGTAAGTCAGCATAGGTCCATAAATGAATTCGGTACGGTACATTTAAAAAGGTTAGCACTACTTGCGCCCCAATGCCCCATCCCAATTTTAAGTGGTTGATGACATAAGAGATGACACATAATGACATGAGAAAGGATTTTATATTTCTACATCGTTTGTGAACTAAAGTCGTTTTCTACTAACATCATAGTCTTAAAATGTGGTCTTTTGTTAGAATCCTAGCCCACAATCATAATTATTATTTTTATGTTATCCGTCTAACAAATATCAGAATACGTCACTGGACATAGGTTGAAGTCAAAATATACTTTTAGCATTTAAATTAACACCAATATAGCAGAAAATGAAAAAGGGACCATTTATAGAAAAGCATTCATAAAAGAAGGACTACGGGGTAATATTTGATAATAAAGGACTAAATATGGAAACACATTTGTTATAAAGGACCAATTATCGAATTTACTCATAAAAAACATTTAAATTTTACCAACGATGGGATGCTCCAAGCCGTCAACACAAGCCAAAGCCAACAACGATTCTTCCTTTGGCGTCTACTTTTGAATGGACTGTTCTGCCTCGGTCATCGACTTGTCGCCCTTCGGTTTGTGACTCTTCCTGCGTGCACTTTTTTCAGTGCACTTGGTTTCGGTTGAGTTTCTGGAACCGGCTTCGGGCTCGACATTCACCGAGGTTTGCGTATCGAACATCGACAAATTATTTCCGTAGGATTAGAATATCTACGTTGCTTGCTCATTTTGTTCGAGAACGGACGAAGGAACATTATAATAGAAGAGATTCATGTTAAAATTAAAAATACTTGAATAATTCTTTTTTAAAAAGAGAAGAGAGAGATTTATGTTTGTGGTGTGAATTTTTAAACAATAGAATGAATTTATAATGGAGGAAAATAATTTTTTATATTAACGGCATTATAGCCGTTGTGGGGGGTGTCAACGGTTCTTTTGAGCCTGAAAGCAACGTCAAACGTTTGACGCTTTCAAGATGACACTGGCTTAACGAGGGAGGGGGTAGTGTTTAATGTCGGGGGTGTTAAAATCGAAAAAACACCCCCAAGGCATTAAACGTATTTCCAGTGCTCTTACGGATGTAAACGAACAAATAATTTTGAATCGATTTGTGTTTCGTATTTGAAATCAATGATCTGTATTCCAAAAAATTAATGCGAATAAAAAAATAAATATGTTTTAGAATTTGAAAGAAACGAATATGAATACAAATGTATATGTATTCGATTCGATATGTTAACGAGTATATTCGAATTTAAATACCCTATAAAAAAATTATACCAAATATATCTACTTCATAATAAATACAGAGCATAATATGCAGAGTACTTCATGATAAAATTTTGACTAAAAACGTTATAAAATTATTTTAAAAAATTAAAAAGATAAACAAAAGTTAATAAAAAAGATACAAAAAACGAACAAAATGGGAAATGAGCTTTAGTTCAAAAAGAATAAAATGTTTCATTGATTTTTGTTTCATGAAAATGAACCAATAATGGTCTCTTTTGAACAAAATATTAAAATATTTAGTTATAGACAAATGAAATGTACGATAATTCTTTTTTCATTAATTTTTTATTTCAAATACAAAAAAAATGGCTTTAAAACATTATGAATAATAGTTTTAGAAAATAATTTACAATATGTTTATGAAAAAGAGAAGGAAAAAAGAGGAGGCGTTAGTGCTCATTTTCAAAAGCATAGGAGGCATTAGAGTCAAACCTAATATTTGAAAGGTATTTTAGTCTAGAGGGGTATTAGCGCAAAATTATCGAAATCATTAGGGACAATGACGTAAATTTGAAACTATAGAGGGTGACAGTACAAAAATTGCCAAACTACACGGGGTATTAATGTAATAAAAATACTTAAAACTATATCAAAAATTGTAAGAAACAAGGAGTGACATGACTATATTATTTTATCAAATAATTAACAAAAATAAGGAAATAAATTGAATGTAATTTCTGTGAATAGTAAACAAACAATTTAATTTGGAATATAGAGGTTAATTTGAAGCATTAACGGATGATTCTGCTCACTTTATAAGTTCTTTTGATACTCTATATGGTCCATATGACTCCCTCCATTCTAATTTACATATACGTAGACGAATATCATCAGTGTTCACAAAATCACATGTGGTTATCTTATCGTCTATGTATATATAAATCATCTGCAATTGTTATCCGTGGGGGCACCTCGTGGGTTCTTAGTATTTTTGTTTTATTTTACCTTCAAAAGAAAAATCTAGAGTCGTTTTTAATGCATTATATACCATACAATCGGTTGTACAATGTTTTTCATACATCCACAACGAATACTCATTTTCCGCAATATATATCGTACAACCGGTTGTACGGTGTTTTTCGTACATCTACGACGAGTGCTCATTTACGAGTAACTGATTGCTCATTATCGAGCAAGTGAATGCTCATTCTCGAACAACTGAATACCCATTTCTTAAAAGTTCAGTAATGTTCGAAAATGTGCATTGAGTTATTTGAAAATGAGTATTCTGCTACTCAAAATTAGATACTTAATTACTCGACAATGAATATTTATGCAGATGTATCGTATAGGTACTCCTCATTTTTTCTAGAATTTAATTATGTTAAAAAAACGAGTATTCAATAAAGCAAAAATGAGTATTTCCTTGATCTCTACCTAAAACAAGCTCCGATAGTCCGATCCCAAAGTTCATCCATACTTACCACATTACCTGCGTTTCTATCTGACCACCGTTGGATCGTCTCCCCCAAGTCGTCTCCGGTGGTCCGCACCACACTTTTCTATATAAGCTCTCTACGTCCAGTCCATCATCGCCGGATTCCCATCGGCGCACTTCTTCCAAATCATACCCGTCTGTTCTGAATCTCGCCCCAGGTAAAATCCCCACAGCGCCGGAGCCGGTGCTTGCCCCCGTTGTTTACCGTCCGTTGACCTGTTTCCGGTGTGCGATTTCTGATTCTATCCAGGTTCGGCGGTTCTGATTGCAGATTTTAACTTTTTGAAATTTAACCTAAAAATAGGAATGTCGCCGGGGTCTCACTTTAATCAGCAAGGATCTCCGAAAATGCTTCCACCGCGCCAGCAACCACGGCCTGGTGGTTTACAGACCAATTTATCCTTGGTCACTTCAGATGCTTGTGGGTCTCCTAATCTTCAAGAGCTGGGCTCGAATTCAGATCAGATTCGGGAATCCCCATCTGAAAGTGCTAGCTCTCGTGAAACCTGGCCTGCAGCTGATGCTTTGGCAGGGAAGAAGATGGAGAAGGAGAAAGAGAACGGATTTGCAGATAATTGTGTCCTGCGCCATTTATCAAGCTCTGATAAAATGTCTCTTCAAGATGTCGCCCGAGAACGGGTGGATGTAATAGCAGATAGAATGCAACATCTTCCAGATGAGTATCTGGAGAAGTTAAAAGTTGAACTCCGGGCTTTCCTGGAAGGACTAGGTGGTTCTCAGCATAGAGATGAGTTCATTTTTTTGCAGAAACTAGTTCAGAATAGGGGTGATCTGACTGACAAAACAATGATTATGGCTCACAGAGCACAGCTAGAGATACTCGTCGCTATTAAGACTGGGATTCAAGCATTTCTACACCCCAGTGTTAGCCTCTCACAAGCTTCCCTGATTGATATTTTCTTGTACAAGAGATGTAGAAACATAGCTTGTGGGAGTACCCTTCCAGCCGAGGATTGTTCTTGTGATGTTTGTTCCAAGAGAAATGGTTTCTGCAACCTTTGCATGTGTGTGATCTGTAACAAGTTTGATTTTGAGGTGAATACATGCCGATGGATTGGTTGTGATCAATGTTCACACTGGACTCACACCGATTGTGCTATTCGTAATGGGCTGGTTGGGATGGGCCCTTCTCTTAAGAATGGCTCGGCCGAAATGATTTTTAGGTGCCGAGCTTGCAATAGGACTTCTGAGTTATTGGGTTGGGTCAGAGATGTTTTCCAGCACTGTGCACCAACCTGGGAGAGGGAAGCTTTTATAAGAGAATTTGATTACGTTAGTAGAATTTTCCGAGGAAGTGACGATCCAAGAGGCCAGAAATTGTTTTTGAAGTGTGAGGAACTTATAGGAAAGCTGAAAAGTGGTGCAGCTGAATCTGTGGCTTGCAAAGTTATTTTATCCTTCTTCCAAGGTAACCACAGACAGTATTATTAAGTGTCCTTTCTCTCGCATTTATAGATCGTTATTGGATTTGATTTTTGTCCCAGCAACAAAAAGTATAAAACTTAAAAATCATACACTTGAGGATTTAATTTGTTTGATAGATAACCGTATTTCGCAGATGGGATTCATTTACTTAATTGGACTGCGCCTCATAAAGTTAAAATAATGTTCAGCTAACACGGTTGGGCGCAAGCTATAACTTAATTGAATACTATGTTTGACTAACAGAGTTGGCAATTTAAGCATTTACAATCAATTGCCCTGATCCATTTTATATGCTCTGCTCATTTCTGTGTACCCCCTTTTACATTGTAAAATTATCGGATTTATCGCTTTCCATGGGCTCTTCTTATTTTCCCAACTGCTTTATGTATGGTGAAACAAGTTATAGAAAGCAAGACATTTATGTTTAAGCATCTACCTATGCCGTAGGTGTTACTCATTTGATAGCAATGCTTTGCGGAATGTTTCATACTTCCCTTTGTTTTATGCTTAATAGCTTTTCATGGAGATTTATACTGTGATTTCTGTTTTTATGTTTTTCTTGCTCATGATTCTTAAAGGAGGTGGCAGCATACCATAATGTATGTAG